TTGAGATACACAGAACAGATAGTTTGTAGAAAAAGAATAGCTTGGCTTTTTATTTTGGAATAAGTTCTTTTTGCATAATACTTTTATTTCAGTAAATTTATAGTGAATATTTCATATAAGTGTATATACTAATTCAGACACTAAGATGATGGGCATATTAAAATGGTAAGATATTACCATTCATTTTAGAAAAGCTGAAGAACTGAACTAATTATGTGTTTAGAAGAAAACAATTCATTTTGGCATATTGAAAAACATAATAATCTGGCATTCCTTTCTCTTAAGGGGAGTGTAAGATCTCAGAGCAGATAAGATTTTCAGCAGACTCAAGATCTAGTAGGGTTCAAAATCCTATTCACTGTTTTTTTTAAGTTGTGGGTTCAGGAATCTTGTCCTTGTTGACATTTGTTCCTGAGAAATATGCTAAAAAAATTCTCAGTGAAAGAAAATATTTTGGAGCCAACAAATGGAACTACCATAAACTAGTATTAAAGCACCAGGAACCAAAGGTGGAGACTTAACATAAAAGTGTCAAAATGTGAAGAATGTAAATACCAGGAATATATAGAATACTTCAATAACTTTATTCCAAGGTTTCAGATAATTTTTCATCTCAGATTTGATCCTGAAGTTCCACAGTCTCCTACAACAGCATTTTAATTTATATATGTATATTAAACACATTGTATAACAATGTAGCACCAAAAAATACTTGTTCTCATTGTTATACCAATATTTTGCTGATTTCATTATGTATTTTTTTCATTGCGAAAACATAAGAACTGCTGAAACAAGAACGTGCTTATCTACTAAATCAACACCTCAAAAGTTTTAGATGGCTAAGCCTGAAGATACAAGAAAACGTTGACTTGGCTTTACTCAGTATTACCTCAAAAACTTAGGCTTCCTTTTCTATCAAGGGTCTCACAAAAGTGCCTCTGTATTATAGCCTGTCAAACAGAAGCTGTGCAGCTGTAAGTAAAATGATAATTGGAAAGATAATGTTAGTGGTATTCAGGCATCTCTCGCAAAGCAGCTTAGTCATATGCTGTACGGAATAAAAACAGGATTGGCTGAGTAAGGGAAATTACTGTTTCCCAGGAAAGGAAATTGCCTGAAACATCTGGCAAAACGTTCTAAATGTTCAGTTTTGACAAAATATACAGTTCAGCCCTTCTTATAAGGTGAGTTCTGTAGAGCAAATATCTTCTTTCTTAAAAAGGGAAAGATCTCATTTGTACTTTAAATATACCAAGCCACTATTTGCTATTTCATGTCAAATACTATATACACTCAGCTACAAAGCAAGCAGGAAATCACAGACTAAGCATCAGTACTTCAGTTTGTAGAATAAAAGTATCATGAATGCAGACATGCTACTCCATTTCTACAGCAAATAAAAGATAAATAGCACAATTAACATAAAAAAAATACTAAGAAGCAACTGAATTATAACATTACTGAATTTCATATTGGCATATATAAGATTCCATGCCAAATTATTTACATTCCTTCCTACTTCAGCATGTCTAACAACGAGATGTTCCTTCTCTTAACTGACAGTAGACAGATCTTCTCTGTCATTCAGCTTTTCTGGAATGAGTCCTGCCCTGCAAGACGACTTGTTCTAATGTGAGGCTCAGTAAAAAGGCTGTATTCAGGCATCTTCCTTCCTCCTCCTCAGTTTTCAAGGACAAAAAAAGTATTTAACTTGCTTTACTTTTCGCACTAGTTTTCTAAATTTAGCTCTTACTACTTTCTTTCCCCCTGAACTCTGACTGGCTTTGTCTCCCTGGGGAGGCAGAGAAGACCGCTTCCTCCTTCACAGCTGGGAAAGCGGCTCCCAAAGGGATAAAAAGGGTGAAGGATCACAAACATGCTCCAAAAGATGCACCAAATACACCGCTATCCTGTAGTGCAGGGTTAAAGAGATGTATATTTATTTTGTTGGTGAGGTGAAAGCTCGCTCACTTTCCTGGGCAGTGGGAAAGAGCACTGCATTAAAGCCGTTTGAGTCCATGGGAGACAGATGGGGAAAAAACAAAATTCCCACTCAGGTAGGGGTGTGCATGTGTGCATGCGTGTCCGTGTTGAGGGGTGGTATTCAAGCTATTGCCCCTACTGCCAAGAAGCATCAACGAAAAGTTGGGGAAAGTATTGCCATGGAAACCTCAGAGTGTTACTCCAGGAGCTGGACAACCAGCACAGCACGGTACCCAATTAAAGGTCCCCGCTGTGCTGGTATGGGTCTTCCCATAGGCCTTTGCTGGCATTTCACAGAGTAATACCTGCACTTCCCATACTTTCCCCTTGAACCGCTGACAGCTGCCATAGCAACTGGCCATTCATTCAAAAAAAGGAACAGTAAAAGGTAAACTAATTTCTCTTCCCAGTATTCCTACAACCACAGTTCTCCCTAGTGGAGGTCCAAGATACAGCAAGCACTGTCAGGCAGCCTCCAAGCCCAGCTCTGTTCCTGGCACCTCTACTGCCCAAGGGCCTTTCAGGGTCATGTACTGGCCTTTCCTAAAGGAAAACAGATTCCACTTCAAACCTTTGGAGACACTCTAGTCTTTCCTCAAAAACCCAGCAAAACTGCGCCGGAAGATTACGTTGGTGATCTGACTCACCAGTGCGGCATACGGATGTAAGCTTCATAGCAATTCAAAAACTGTTGATCTAATCCGGTCTCTTATGGAAATCCTGTCTAACAATTTCTCAGTCAACAATTTCCCCTAATTTTACATATGTACAGTCCTTGAGTCCTTGAAGTCTAGTAATTAAAAAGAAAATTCTAAAATACTGTGACGGTCAATCTCACCTTTTCCTTCAATAAATAATTAAGGATTGAAAAAAATCCATGAACACATAACCTAAGAAAATTGGTAAGATTATTGTCCAGTTCTTCCTCATTAGGAGAGGGACGCTTTCAGGGTTGGAGCGTTCTTATTTTCAGCACTACTCTACACTGGGTGCCCTATATTCTTTGGAGTAGCTGTAAGAGGAAAACAAAGCAGGGGACAGATCAAGTTAAAGACATTTAAGTACAAGTAATAATGGGAAATTCTCACATAGTTTAATAAAAAGTTTTTATAGGAAGTATTCAACATTAAAGAAAATACTTAATGAATTTGAATGTCTGGTTAGATACCTAGAAATGCTTCATTATCTCATATGCAAATCTAATCCTACATGCTCATTTTATTGCATAATAAATAGTAGGTTCCTCAAATACCTTGCAAAAGATTGTTATTCACATGGAAATAAACTTTCTTTCAAAGATTTCAATATATTGAAAAGCAGAAATCACTGCGCAGAAAAGTTTTGAAGTTTCATTAACAACACAGGTAGCTGTCACATTAATTAGCTTGGTTATTGCAACAGAAAGTTGAATGGATGGGAAATGCAGATATATGCCAAGCCCTGCAAATATGTACATTTTGTAGAAAATATTCCTGACTCTATCCCAAGTGCCAAACATATTCCTCCATTTCCTCTGACTGGAAGGATGAACAATGGCAAATGAACCTTCCACAGGAAGCAAATCTGACAAATTGGCTTCATGGGTCACAGTCCAAGTATAATTTGAGCCTTCTGGAGTCTCCAGAACTAAACCCTATGGATTGCTCCTTCGAGAGATAACAGAACGTATTACGTAAAGAAATCCCAACAGCTACCAATAAGGTACAGCATGCATACTAGCTGCTACGACTATTTTTGACAATGCCTGAACACAACTTTCACGTTGCAGAAAGCAGAAATCACATTAATACACTTTATTAAATATAGAAAGTTGTGTAAGAAAGTCTGTCCTAAGAGATCCTGAGGCACACTGAGATTTTCCTGGGGATAAGAGAACCTTTGGTCTCTAATTCATGTTAGTTTGACTAGCATGGCATTCCCTTTGTTTACTTTAATTAAGAAAATCTATAGCTCCCAGATCCAAACCCAGTAAAGCTCCCAGGCAGTTTCTCTTCAGGAATCAGTTTCCTAACATGCTGGTTTCAAGGAGACACTTTCTGCAACAGAAAACTAAACTTTTCCAAGATTTCAGTGGAATCAACTCTTTCCTAGGGTTTGGTAAGTAGGTTAGCAATTTTCTGCTTTTTCAAGTTCACTGATTCTTGCAGAGAACATGGGAGTGGGGAGTGGTGGAGAGTTATTTTTACTCTTACATATATAATCAAATATGCCTTTAGCAGATTTCCGCTTACCTTTTACAGGTATTTCCCACTTTTGAGGGCCCAGAATTGGGCTAATGTAAACTGATAAAGTAACTAATGTGCACCCATGTCGCTTCCTGAGGAAAGCCTTACAGCCTCTTTGCAAAGTTATTCTCTCTTCCAGTCCCAGCTGGCTTTTGGTTTGTAACTCTTTCTAACATTATCCTTTTTAAAGTTAGCCTGTTAATACAGACAAACAACTTAAAAAAATAAAAGCTTGAAAACATTTAACTCCTGAAAAACACGCATGAAAAAAATTATTCAACTCAGAGATAGAGCAAAATACATCAAGTCTGTATGTTACACTGAAGACTTTTCATAAAAAACCCTCTCTTGCTCTCTTTGCAAGGCCAGGCCAAAATTTGCTGTTGTGTGCTTGGGACAGTATCTTTGTAAGTATACAACGCGTTAAGTATAAACAGAGTTACATCTTAAAAGGTCCACCTTTTAAAATGCTTTTCTTTAAAGGGAACAAACACACACAGGGACTTTTTTTTTCTTTCTGACAGTGTTTAAAAATGATTGCGACTACAAGTAATTTACAAGCTGCCCCTGCAAACATAGTTGGAGGCTATCGGAACTGATTTCTCTGTCTAGGAAACTCTTAATTAGAGCTGTGCTTCAGGAATTCGCAGGGGTCCGGTAACGGGTCGCTCTCGCCGGCGCTTTTCTCTAGCACGCCAGGCAGCGCTGGGCAGAGCGCTCGCGTTTCCTCCTCCCTTGCGAGTGACCTCCCTCTACAGGAAGATAATGGATAAGTCAGGAGGGAGGAGCAGCTCAGCTACACATGTCTGGCTTCTCTTATCAACTTATCATATAAGGAAAGGAAAGTGATTGATTCAGATACCGAAGCTGTAAAATCGTGACAAAGACGAGCAGAAGAAAGCATTCAAGCTTATTCTTAAAGCGAACCCGGCTCCTGCAGGGTAAACGGGACTGCTTTGCCTTTCCGCATCTGACAGTTCGGAGCACGACCGGGGAGCGGACGGCACGCTTGCAGTTTGCAGCTAGGACAGCAGAAAAGCCCAGCTCTCATTCAGACGACACATGGCAGCAGAGCGCTGAATTTCAGTGCAGGTTAACTACATCTGGGTTCTTGTTAGTATACTGAAGCCGTTCAGATTTGCTGGGTTACGAATTAAAATGCGGCTGAGCGTTTACTTTACTTTGAGCTGCAATCTCTTCTTAGCTTCAGGATACAACTCCTTTAGTAAAAGCATGGAGACTATAGGCAAGAAGCAGTACCAGGTTCAGCACGGGTCATGCAGCTATACCTTCCTTTTGCCTGAGACAGACAACTGCCGATCTTCCAGCTCTTACGTGTCTAACGCAGTGCAAAGGGATGCACCTTTAGATTACGATGATTCAGTACAAAGACTGCAACTACTTGAAAACATCATGGAAAACAACACTCAGTGGCTAATGAAGGTAGGACAATATTATCTCTGTTCTAAAAATCTTGTTTACGAGATCTTGTTAGCTACTTCATTTTGGGTTTTTTTTTCTTCTAGGAGTTTTTAAGTTCAAAAAATGCATGATCTAGACTAAATTTCTGAATTAGTGTTCAATCCAAAAGTTGGGTTGAAGTCTGAAAACAAAATTTTACAGACTAGCAGGGAACAGAAAATTGCACTGTTCTGCAGACCTCATGTTTTATAGTTTAACATTATATTGGAGCTGCTTGGACAAATAGTAATTACACAGGCAGACTGCAAGCATGTCTGAAGTCTGACATGAAAGAACCAGACACTTTACAACTCACTGACAAGAGCTAGTTTATCTCTATTTAAACAGTATAGAACATGCCTTTATTTGAGGCACATTTTAAAATTCTTATTGGAAACATGATTTTAAAATCTGCGTGCAAGAAAATAACATACGTAAGCCACAGTTACGAAGAACTGTAATTCTAAGTAGAGGCTGCAAGTCTGACTTGCAGTGAAATTAGCCTAGTGAAGTGACAGAATTTCCAGAAAGTTCATTAACAGAAATCCTGTGTATCCTGTAATATATCCACTCAAAGATAGAAAATTCAAGGGGAAAAAACTGTGGAAAGAATGACACTGTTTCAGATGCCACATAGCTGCCTTTAATGCAACTCCATTGTTAACTAAAGGAAAATGACATGTTTATTCTCCAAGTGGCAATATTTATAAAATTCTATCTGAAACAGCAGAAAAAGTTATACTGTATAAATTCTTGATATTACTAGAAAATAAACGTGATCACTATTCCACATTTTTACAGAAACTCACTTGATTCTAAATATTATACAGTTCAGTAAACTTTTATTTCACTGGTATCTGAGAAAGTGTGATAGTATAGTTTAACTGCACAGTAAACTTATAATCGTGTGTCTGTGTCTTGTACCAAGATATCTGTTCTAAGGAATAAATCTTTTGAGGACTGAACTGAGCAACTGACATCATAACTACAAATAAGTCTTTAAATATTACAATGATGTCATAAGGTTGTCTTTCATAATGAAAACTACTTGTTGCCAAAGGAGAATTCGTAATTCTCTGCAATATGAGCAGGCATTTCTTCATTCTAAGTTTAAATGATTATCAAATAATCATTTTGCATTAAGGTTTGTGTGTCCCATCAATTACAGAGCTATCAAGCTAGTATGAGTACAATCTAAGAAACCTGCTAGCAAATTTGTGTACGTAAAGCAGAACAGTCACACTTCCCAGTAGAAAGCAGAGTGTTTTCATCTACCTAAAAATAAGCTTTGAAGCTTAAATCCAAAATGCATACACGTGAAGGCTGCAGTGTGGGCCACTAAATCTGTCTTTAGTCATCTTTACGGGCTTAGGATGCTTAATTTAGACACCTTCATTTTCAAATGTTAGCTAAACCATCAGTTTAGCAGCTCTTTTTTCTTCTTTCACAAGCAAGCATACTCACCTCCACATATATATTTATCTCCCTACTGATTAATTTAGCAATGCTCACTATTGTAATGTTAAGAGTAACATTAACAGATGTGCAATGAAAAATACACAAAGTAAAGTAGTCCAATCTACCCAGCTGGTAAGCAATTTCCTAACATAAATAGTAGAAATCACACACAAGGCTCCAGTGCTAAATACCGCTTAAGTAGGCAAACACAATATCGTAAGTGACATCAGGTAAACAGAAACCAGTAAGCAAATTCCAGCATCCTTATTTAGTAAAAACTGCCCTTTTTCCTGTCAGTCTCTGGGAAATCAGTTGCAAGAGGACTAGGAGGATAAGTATATCTAACACATTCTTTGGGGGGATCAAAAAGCAGATTCTGTTCTACAAGACAGACACATTTCTTTCATTTGAGCAAAGATTTCCAAATAAGATGCTTTAGAAATAGGTTGATTTTTTTTTATGCTCCATAACTAAACATCTTGTAGAATAACTACTGTTTGCCTTTTTCACTATTTTAACACCTGCCCTTTATGTCATTTGTTATGTTCACAAAGAGACTCCCAACAAAAGTTGCTTTTCCTCAGATTTGCTTTGCTAGTGACACCTGGCCTGCTAAGTGAACACGAAAAGGAAACAATAACCTTTACAGTTGTTTACCGAGTTTACTTACTATTTTTCTCAGTCAATAAAACACATAGCTAGGTTCATATTTCAGTTAACTAAAATATAGTGGCAGAGCAGACAAGGCTTGGCCAAAAAATGTTGTTCATTTACTCTATACACTGCATTGAAATGTAATGGCATCTTGATTAAAAAAAGCATGGCATTAAGTTCTGAGCAACTGCAGAAAACTCTGCCTTAGGTCTTGCTTTTGAAAAAAAATTATTTTGCTCAGTTAAGAGGCAGAACCTGCTGCCTTTTGAAGCAGTGTAAAAAAAAAAATTAAAATTGTATCACAAGCTTTCAGTGCGACTTAACCTTTAAACTTTGTTCACAAAGTATTGTACATCCCAAAACATTTTTATACTCCTCCTCCCCCCCGCCCCGGCCTTTAATCCATCAACTAAAGGAAACATTATGCTTCTGAATGAACACTAGGCTGTATGAATGGAACAGCATGGGAAGTGTGCACTTTATCTGGTTAATGGACAAACACAATAGGAAGAAAATGAGTTACGTAGGTCCAGGTTCTTTTTTGATCTACTCCTGTATGCAGAGCAAAAGACTTTCGTCTGCAAATGCTACAAATCAAGTTGAGTATTGCTTCATGCAAACACATTCTTTTTTCTGCAGTGTGTTAATGCCTTACGCCACTACTGTAAATACCATATATAAAGCTGGAATGTCTTTCTAAAGTTAAGCACAGTTATGTACCTGAAAGTGAGCTTTCTTCTTTGACCTTCCTTACCTTGGGATCAACTTATATATTGAAGTGTAAAAAAGGTTTTGGGGGGGGTGGGCAGGGAGAACAAACCTATCAAGATTTTCAATTAATTGGAGGGGATTAAGAGGTTAGTATAAAGCTGAGATACATGACTAAGTTTAAAATTTCCAGTCTTCTATGTTAACTACTACCCTTGAGATATTTTTATATATAAAAAAATTAGGTTGTCACATATTCCCAAAAGACAGGCAATTCCCATAAGGTCCACAAATAAACAAACCTCTATCTGAATTAACGGCACATTTACCATTTGGAACATGTCAATTTACATGTCCAGTAACTGCCTTTTTCAGGTATTCAGATACTGAGATAACCAAATGCTAACGTGAATTCATTTCTTAGTACCTTAACTAGATCCTATGACTCTGGGAGATATGAGTCTCTGTCCAAAGCAATTGTGCAAAACAAATGGGTTGCATTTTCTTAGTCTTTCTTGTTCGAAACAGCTGAAAACAATATATGATTAAATTGACTATAGCATATGGAATAAAGGTAATTTAATTGTAGTTTATCTGCATGCCAAAAGACAAATATAAGTGTGCGGCAGCACACTCAACTTTTAAACCTAAGAACAGAACTTCATCCTGAACCAACCCAGCAGACTATGAGACGGACATTTTACTGATAGAAGTGCGGTGGTTTTGGATAGTCTGAACTGCAATTCCTTCTTCCTTGTCACCTTTTCCTGGAAACTAAAAATCCTTGGTCATGTTGAAACTTTTTTCTTCTTTAAGCAAAATAAATTTAGAT